GCTGCCCCTTATAACGAAAATGGTGAATAGAAAAGAGAACAAACTCTGACACATGAAAACTCTGGATCCTTAGCAAAACTCTGCCGGGGGTTCTCTCTTTAAAATACAAGTCTCTAAAATGTTCTCATCCTGTTTTTTAAGCTAATTATTGATTTAAAGGTCTGTGATTGCTCTGTGAGACTTCTTGAATTAGGCACTGTGTCTTATTCTCTTAAATAGTCACAACTCTGGCCTGGTTTATGAGAAGTGCCTGTGAAATATTTGATTAATGAATTAATGAGTGAATAAATGACTAGGTAATCGGTGGCATCTCAGCCCAATAATATGCTAGACATTCCAGATGTTGGGTAAATCTTGAAATATTTAGATCTTGTATTGAAAGAATCTCATCTTATATTTTCACATGGGCTTGGCCTAATAGGACACATCCATAAATCCCAATTTAAATCTGTACTTTTTTCTTTATGCGTGTTTATTTTCCAGACTATGAGGCTTTGAGGTCTTTAGCAGAAGAGTACCATTTGTGGTCTGAAGGATAACTACTTATGATTTTTCATGACTGGGATTTATTAATTAGCCTGGAAAGTACTCCTTACATCACTGCCTGGTAATCTGAGGACATGAATTTTATTTCCAAATCCTCCCTCTCTGAGGATGTTTTCATTAATGAGGAAAGTATAGGCAGCTGGCTGTCCTTAGCCTTTGTTTCCAGATACTATCTATCGAGGAGAAATCAAAATACTTTGCATTATACTTGGATTAACAGCAATTTGCTAATTCCATGGACATTTCTCATAATCCAGAAATATCCTTTACCACAGATGGTTTTATTTTCACTAAAATATGAGTTTGGAATATCCAATTAAAGGATAGGATTGATAAGAGAGAGAGAGCCACTTTCTAGATTTTACCCTTAAAGTAGCCACAGTAGAGTTCACTTAACTTTGCTATCCATGTGGAGGTCATTGGAATCCATGGTAATTTCCTCTTCCCAGGGTTAGTCATTGGTGGTTAAAGCTGGAAGTCATAAGATCCAGTCCTTTTATTTTATTAAAAAATGGATTTTATTTTATAAAATCAGAGGGATTTCCACTTAAGCAAAATTGTTTTGATCTTTTCCAATGAGAATATTAAAAAAAAAAACCCAGTAACTGAAGAGGATAACAAATAGCAAAAAGACCCAAGTACTTTTTCAGCACTGGGGATGAACTCAGAGTCCCTGCACTGAGCTACATCCCCAGTTCTTTTTATTTTGAGACATGGCCTCACTAAGTTGCCCAGGCTGTGCTTGAACTTGTGATTCTTCTGCTTCAGCCTCCCAGAGTGCTGTGATTGGTAGTATGTGCCACCACACCCAGGTAGGGTCCAATTTTTATTCTATCTCCCTCCCTATTTTTCCCTGTCTCCTTTCCTCCCTTGCTACAGGGAAAAATGAAAAAGAGACAGGAAAAGAATGAAAGAGTGGAAAAAAAAATGGGGTACTGATTGCTGGAAAGTGGAAACTTGTGTACAGTCTGTGATTTTCACAAACCACACAAGCACATCAGCTCGTAGCATACTGTGGCTGCTCTTTGTCCAGCTTTTAGACCTAATGGTCATCAAGGGGAGATAAATGATCAGTTTTCCTTTCATGGCCCGGTAGGAAGGCTGTGGCACTTCTCCAGCAGGTTTGTCCCAGGACAGATGGCAGATTGCTGCTTTCCCTCTGGGCTATCTGGGAACAGGGCAGAAAAAGGAAGCAGAGACAGCCAGGGCTGCTGAGGACCCTAGCAAAGGTCAGCGTCCCTGCTCTAAGAAATGGGTTCCCTCAATCTCAAACAGTATTTGTCATATAAAACTCTTAAGTCCCCATTTAGAGCATGTGATCCAACTTCAGAAAAGATGAGGGACTTTATTAGCCTCTTTCATTCATTCAACAAACACTGAGAATTCATCCTGAACAGGAGGATGAGCAAGAGCCACCATCCTCCACAAAGACTGATAAATGAGGACTTTTTGTCTCCAGAGGAGAGGGCTCTTTGGTGGCATAAAAATCTGTTTGTACCCCTCTCCCCATACTTTAGATACAGGGACATCAATTAGTTGATACAGATGTTAGTGAGTAAACTGTCAGTGACTGTTACCAATATTATTCACTTTTTAAGTGCTGTGTTTCAATGTCACATCACAAACACCAGGTCATATAATAATTATTTCTATTAACTTCACAAAAGACATCTTTTTCAGCCAGATGTAGCTACTCTGAAAGGTATGATTTGATAATGTAGTTAAAAAACACACTAATTTAATTTCATTTTATCTTACTATCTTGATAGCAAGGAGAGACTAGTCAAATTAGACAGTTAGGGTTTAGTAGCCTGATGCTATATTAATGTAAATTAACAGTACACACTTAAAAATAATAAAAGTGATATAAACATTTTTTTAAAACTTAGGTAATTGAATCCTGGTTCAAAATGATATTTAGCACTAGAATATAATACACTACCTGCTGCTCAACCATCTATCATTATCTTTTGAACACTATAATTGGATAAACAGGAAACTATTCATAATAATAAGTTAGTTCAAAATCATGTGTTTGCTGGAGTCTGGGGTGCACACTGCAGTCGTAGTGAACTGAAGGTAAAACCGCTGATTGCATCCCTTCCATTGTTAGTTCATCTCTCTTGCAACAACATACAGCAGCACAATACACTTGGGCAGTCCAAAGCACTTTGCCAAAATGACTGAAAAAGCAGTCATTTCTCCTGCATTCCATGAGTGAGCAACATAAATCTTGTTTGCTGCAAGACAGAGCTGCCATTGAACCTAACCCATCCCCTCCCTGCTGGGCAGATAGTTATGCTTAGCACATAACTTGGGCAAATAATTTGCCTTCTGCAATTTCCATTAGGCCTCACCACTTAGTTGCTCTATTTATCTATTTTTCAATGATTCTTTGGTAGTTATGGTCCTTACATCACAGCTATCCAAACATTAGTTTACACAGGACTCCTGCACACTAGGGCTCCTTCTAAGAGATTTAAATTGAAAGCCAACACAGGCTGTTATTGGTCTATTTTCAGTTTTCGTTATCAATAAAACAAGAGATCAGCATTTTCATGCTGTGTGAAACTTTTAGGAAATGCAACATTACTATCATTATCTTTAGACCAGGCTGCTGCTGGCCCTACTAATGCAGATGGAATGATGAACCCATCAGAATAAAAAAATAAAATAATGAATTGACCAGAATCACCAAAAGAGCTGCTGACCAGGTCTGCTCCCTGGCTCCCTGAAATGTCCCTTTGAATTTAGAAGAGCCTGGCTAGCAAAGACCACAGATCATGACAGAACATAAATCGGCCTCATAATGAGATTAGTAGGCAGGCAGAATAAATGTCTTGCTGTTATATTAGAGGCAGGCTTTAATCTTCTGTTTTTCTTGAAAATGTTCATTTCTTTTGCAACAGGGAACCATGATGCAACCTTAAATCCAACAGATTTTGTTTTACCACATAGGTCTTTTTCATCTACCTCTGTCTTTTTAATAGCAGTTTGGGGGAGGCACATAAACGAATAGTGAGTCTCAAAGATTATTACCAAAGAGAGCTATGGGAACCTATGCTCATGGTCATCAATCCTGTTCCCCAGACTCCCTTTTGAAGGCAAGTTTTGTGTAGCTTCCTCTCCCCTGCCTAAGCTGGAGCCTGCTGGGGAGGAGGTGCTGTGACCCCCAGGGTCCTCTCACTTTAGTCTTAAGGATCAAAGGGAGAATAGCTTTGCTATTGTATTTGGAGTGTATTTAAAGAAATCTTTACTGCAACTCTACTACTTAAAACCAATGGAAACAAGTATCACATATTAAAGGGCCTTAAGAAAATGCCAGATCAGGTGAACCCACAAGGTCTCAGAGTAGAACAAAAGCCTCCAGTGTGGAGCTTGATTGCAAGGGACTTCCTTGGCTTGCAGCAGAAGGCAGCCTCACCTGGGAGTACAATACCCTCCTCTCATTACAAATGCAAGATAGCATCTCCTCCTGGATCCTTTCTACAGAACCTGAAGCAAGTTCATGGACTGTGCCATACTTGGTAGTGAATACATTTAATCAAATCCTTCTGTGAACTAATCTTAGAGTTTCCTGAGCCCTGTAAAGTCATCAAGCAAGTTAAGAGGTCCTTTCAAAAGGAATGGGAGACCAGACTCTGAATTTAGGATTATTTGACACTTCTGTACAGAAGGCATGGACAATTTAATTTCTCTACATTTCTTGGGGCCCACACTAAAGACTCCTTGCTTCTCTGTGAAATGGCAGATTAGGAGTAGGTCATTGGCAAGCATCTCAATTCATGGCATTTCGACATATTTCTTTTTTTTAGGCTGGAAAGAAACCATAGAAATCTTTTATATTTGCATATATGTTTTACAGTTTACATGATGGTTTACAAATATCATTTTATCTCATGAAATAAGCCCTTTTTCACAGTTGGTGCTTCTGTCCAAAATCTGGATCTACTTTAAGGAGAAATTATTATTTGGGCCAATTTAATAATTTTTTTTAACTTTCCACTTCTCAATAGCTGTGTCTCTACTTGCATCTTTTCTACGTATCTAATTTGCAAATGTCAAAAAATTTAAAGTCAATTCTTCTCCCGCTCTTAATATTTTCTCTGTTCTCTGTTAACTTCTGCCTCATCAGATGAAATAGTTCAAGAGGAGACAGACTAACTTTCCTCTAGGTAGGTGGTCCTATGTTTATTGGTACTCTCTTCCAATTTACCTTGTTCATTTCCATAATAACTCTTTCTTCTTTGTCCCACATCTGCCCCCACTCTCTACTGCAGCTCCATGATTATAATTTAAATTACCAGCAGTAAATGAATTCACTTTGCCAAGTGCCCTGTACATTTGGTATGTGTTAATGATTATCTAATGGCTTTCTTGTGTGTTGAACTCATCAAGTTAAAGTTTCATGACATAATCTCCCTGAAGGAATTTTCCGGATTATGCTTGCTTACCTCATATAATGGAACTTGTTCTTGGGTTACAGCAAAGATCAGTAACACATTGTTTTGCACCAATTTATCAATGAGTTGTCCAATTGTTGGATATTCCTAAAATTAATACATAGATTTTTAAGTAACACCTTAATAAAATAATTTGCATAAGGAAAAGAATGTTTATTTTGGAGATATTTTACTGAGCTGAGCATCTCAAAGTTCACAGGTATCTATTACTCTAAGCAAACAAATATGCAATTAGCACTACAGAGTTGGTTCAGTAATTGTTTTCCAAATCTAATAAGTTCAGTTTGGTCCTCAGAGTCAGTTCCTGCCAATGTGTTTCCCTGTGGTCATTCACTTTGAAGCAGATAACTTGCTATTTATTTACAGGCTTATACTTTTGGTCCTATTTTCAAGAATGGAGAAGTATTTCTTCTAGTGTCACTGATTGGAGGCAGGAATGTTAGAACCAAGGGAGGGAATTTAGACAATGATGTATGTGATTGAGGTGACCCTTGCAGCTCTGAAATTTTTACTGGAGTTGGATGAGGTCCCATGAAGGCTGAGGAGGGGACAGGAATGACATACTGCTGAGGAATGACACACTACAATTCCTATGCCTGTCTGCTTTGAGAATTTCTTGGGATTGGTTTTACTGCCTATCCAGTGTCATAAACTAGTTGATTGGGAGCCTGCAGTATTTTCACAGGACAATTGAAAACTTGCTGCACTTCTGGCCCATTGACACACTCATTCCCACATACTACAGTATCAGTACTTAAAAACAAGGAAGTCATTAACTGTCATATGAACTTTACTTTCCCAATCTGGAAAAACCCAAAACTCATTTGCCTATCATATGAATTCAAATGTGGATGATGCACAAAGAGGAAAGTCAAATGAGGGAGTTGCCTGCATCTGATTAAATTAAGAATGTGTTGATTATGACAGTGGTTGGCCTAAATGGAGGAACACTGCTAAACAGCCCTATAATGGGGTATGTTCTCACATTCTCGATGATGCTGGAGTATTTTTATCTTAAAGTCTTCTTTAGGTACAAAGTTCAAGTTGAGGGGAAAGTATACTTTTGTGTTGAATATGAGGTAAATTTTTCAACTGAAAATCTGGCTATGTATAACTTTCAATCAAATTTGGATTTTTATTAGTACAGATAACAAATAATATAATTTTTTTCTGGGTCTAATGTGTTTAGTTTCTTAGCATCTTTCATCCTCAAGCCTAAGTCCTGCCATCTTCACACCTTCCCATACCTTTCAACTGCTGGGCATGTGGAGCCAGGATCATACCACAGAGCCCACAGAAGATGCAGTTCCAAGGCCAGAAACCACATCCTATTATTTTGTGGCTCCAGAAACCTGGCCCAGTTCTGAGTACACAGGAAATGCTCTAAGGGGCCAGAGGGCATGGATATGGTCCAGGGCTTCTGCACAAATGTAACAAGAACAAACTGAACTTTTTATTAGGTAATAGGCAATGTTTGCTTTTGTGATCTTCCTATTTTCAAGATATGTATTATGGAGCATTTGAAAAATTGCAAGAAAAAAGTAATGAAAAAGTTATCAACTTGGAAACAACCCAAGTGCCCATCAACTGGAAACTGGATAAAGAAGATGTGGTTTTTTTATAAAATGGAGTACAACTCAGCTGTAAAGAATGACAAACTAGACACATTTATAGCTAAATGGATGCGTATTGAGGCCATACTCTTAAGTGAAATAAATAGAACACACATGTCTAAATACCAAATAGTTTCTCTGGTGTGAGAAACTAAAAGTGTAAATAAGGATTAAAATGATTAAAATGAATAATTGATAATTTGAAATAGAAGAAAATGTCCCAAGGGGTAGGGGAAGTGGGAGGGGAAGGGGAAAGGAAAGAAGGGAAAGGAAAAATTATGAGAAAAAAATGGAAACAAAGTCTTTGTAAATAGGAAAGGGTAGAGTGGGTGAAGGGAGGACAGGGAATGGGGAAAAAATAAGAACCAAGGTACATCATGTACAGGTACAAGTACCCAATGATAAATGTAAATGTATCATATACCTAAAAATGTACCAATAAAAGAATTTAAGGAAAAGAAAAAAGGTGTCAACTTCTCAGTTTCTTGCCCCCCGTTGACTAAAAACAAAATGTACTCATTTTCATTGCCATTATGATATGAAATGGCAGATTATATGATTAAAGAATATATATATATGTTTGGGGAATACAACTGGTCCAAAGTTATGGGAAAACATTCATGTTGAAGTTTAGAAATTAAGGTCAAGGAATAGTACTAATCTACACTGTTAGTTTATTGAAAACACTTTTTCCAGTTGATAAACTTCAATTTTTGGAACCATATTTTCTCTTGTGTTGAATGGGTATATATCTTTCTCAAGTTTCTGCTTCATAATTCAGTGGTGTTTCACACATAGTCAACATTCACTGTGTTCCAGGCTCTGTGCTGCCAAGAAACAGAGATAAAAGCAAAACCAGCCCTAGCCCTAGGACTATGCAGTAAAAACAGAAATAAGCAAACAGAATTTTATCTAGAGGACTGCAAGAAGATATCTATGTGTAAGGGTAAAGGGAGAGGCAATGGTTTCAGGGCCTACTGGAAGTCAAAGAGGCCTCTTTGGGGACGGCAATGATTGAGCTGTGTGCTTTTTTTTTCAGATGTACTTCCCAATTCAATCTGGGCTACCATAGAGACAGAACGTGCAGGGGTTATTTCCTTTAGCATCCTAGTGCAAACCAAAAGAACAACAAATGAGCTGGGTTTTAACTGGATAAAGAAGATGTGGTTTTTTTATAAAATGGAGTACTACTCAGCCATAAAGAATGAGAAACTAGAGACATTTATAGCTAAATGGATGCATATTGAGGCCATACTCTTAAGTGAAATAAATAGGACACACATGTGTAAATACCGAATAGTTTCTCTAGTGTAAGAAACTGAAAGTATAAATAAGGATGAAAATGATTAAAATCAATAATTGATAATTTGAAATAAAGAAAGGTCCAAAGGTTTGGGGATGGTGGAAGGGAAAGGGGAAAGGGAAGAAGGGAAAGAAAAAAATTATGAGAAAAATAAAAAAAATGGAATCAAACTCTGTGTAGATAGGGAAGGGTGGAGGGGGTGAAGGGTGCACAGGTAATAGGAGAAAAAATAAAAACTAAGATGCATCATGTTCTGGTACACCCAATGATAAATGTAAATGTATTTTATAACTAAAACGTACCAATAAATATACATATTTTTAAAAAATGAGCTGGGTTTTAAACGATAATCAGGAGGTTCTCAACAATCTAGGAGGAAGAGTATTCCAAAAAGAGAGAATAACATAGACAAACATAGCAGCCATATGCTTTGGATACATAGAGTTCTGTTGAGGATCAGAGGAGGTCCTGTATGTCAAAAGAGCTCTGTAAATGTTACATTGTTTCACAAAAGTCAAGTGTTTTGTTTTTCAGCATCACCAGGATTTTTTAAACGACAGAAAATAAGACAAATGTTGGTGAGGATCAACCAAGCAGTATCTGACTAGTTGTTTCCCAGGGAGTCCCATGGCTTATGAAAACATGGCATAATTTATGGACAGCCATTTCCAACAATTCCCATATGGTACTGTGCTAGTCTGAGTCCTCCTTTCTGAGCTGTGGTTTGGCACAGAAAGTTACACAGGCTAGTTTTTTACTGGCCCCAAGATTTTTCAACAGTTGAGGAATTCTAGGATCACATGTGCCATCACAGATTCAAACTTCTTCTACGTCCCCACCAACCATCTGTGTTCCAGAACAATCTCTAATGATAGTGAGGATTAAGAAGGAGCAATTTATTCATCTCAAATCAGAAATGTGTACTGCTTTCACCAAGTGTGAGCTATTTCGTGTTGTGTTACGGCAGCTGTTGCTTCATTTGCCTACTTGTGGCCCGGAAAGCAGTACAGGGTGCAGGGTACGTACCATGACAGTTGACATGGAGTATTCATTCTTGTTGTCCAAGTGACAGAGCCCATCGTTGGGAATGACAATGCCCGCCAGTTTACTGTCCATTCCAAAATGCGAATCAGCATCACTCACAAATACCAAGAGGTGGAGTGAGTCATTCCGCCAGCCAATTTTTTCCTACAGTAAGAAAGTAACATCAGGCTTCACTGGGGAGAGGTGGGCACATAATAAATGTGGATCAGTTCTGATTAGACACGTCCAGATTATAAACAGTACACTGCTGATCTATTTTAACCTTCATCTATTGTGACTTGATAATATAAACATGAAATTTTGTGGCATTTGGTTTTTCCTCAATAACATTTTTGGATGATTTATATTTCAGGGAAAAAATACCTCCATTACAATCAGTATTCAGTTGATCTTGACTTTTACATAATTAATTATTTTTACTGTCCAGCTTTCAATTCACCAGGAAAATGAGAAAAGAATGTGGTAAAGGTCATAGAGAATCCCAAATCTAAGCTGAAACAATATTAGTCAAAATGTAACCCAAAATGAATGAAAAGTAAGTCTGTTTCATTAAAAGGTCACCTAACTTTTAGGCATACATTTTTCTTTCTAGTGATGTAATCCTAGAGATGTAATCCACAATTCTAGGGATATAATTCACAGTTCTAGTGATGTAACGCAAAAGATCAAGGATGGCCCTGAGGTCTTGCTAATTTTGACTGTCTGCAGTCTGCATCTTAGCAGAGCTCTTCCCTTTAATATTAGTCCAGGAATCACTTACACAAAACACTCACCTTGACTCCTCCAACCTTCCTTATGCCTTTCCCTTCTCTTTTAATTCCTTGGCCCTGCCACCTTTGAGGAGCCTCAGGTTTGTCCATTTCTTGCTATTTCCCAAAGAGAGCTATTGTCTAAAGACAGTGGACTCATTCTCATGATTACCTGTCAAATAGTTAAGGAGGGATAGGGTTCCAACAATGTCCTAGAGACAGTATGACTTCTGATGCTTATTTCGTTGCTTCAAAACAATAGATATGTATTGTTAGTATAGCTATATACTGATTCAGGGCATTTTTACTTTTATCTTTATCTTTTTTGTGTGTAGTATTAGGGATTAAACCCAGGGCCTTCTCACTGAGGCACACCCCGAGTCCTTTAAACATTTTTTAATTTTGAGTCAGGGTCTCTCACTAAGTCACTAAATTAACCAGGCTGGACTGAAACTTATAATCCTCCTGCCTGGCTGAGCTGAAATCAAAGGCATCCTGCCACTACGCCCAATTTACTTTTTTTTAATTAGTGTTCTGCCTTTGATTTTTTCACCATAGTTAATCTAAAACCAAATTAATCTCACTTTAATCTGTGAAAATTAGTCACTTTTGTCAGCAGTATTAACATTCTCTTACTTTATTTGAATATTAGGCATATAAAGAGTCCCTATTTCAAGATGAAATAAAATTTTATATAATTTTTATAGAAATTTTATGTTTTAAGAAAGGTGTGAAAATATGATGGTTACAGGAAAGAAAATTATTTAAGCTTCCAAAAGCAGAATTGTTAATAAGAGATGAATTTATGTCATTAGAATGGAATCTTGCTCTCCTCAGCATACCTTACACACAGCAGCTTGCATAATTGCATCGAATCCACCTTCAGGTGTGTCAATATTAGCAGAAATTTTCTGATTCTTCACAATTTCATTGAATCTTTCAGCATCATTTGTCAATGGCAGAATGTGCTTGAATCCAAATGTAGGTAAGCAGGAGTATGGAATACTACTGCAAAAGTAAGATATAAAAATATTCTTAAAATATGATGCAACACACAATTAGTGGATCTAATAGCCTAGCAACATTTCTTTATATGAAAATTCATTTTTCTAAAGGACTGGGATTCTGGAACTTGGCTGTGAATCTCATGGTTAGGGTTGTTGTCATCATGTTCTGCCCATCCCTTCCATGTTGACAAACTAGCTGATACCTATTTAGACTTACCTTATGTCTTATTGGCTCAAACTCAGATAAAAGATAATCAGGTGCCAAGACTCCACATTCCAATGACTATAATCATGACCTTCTACTACCTCCCAGCCAAAATTAAGTTTACATGATGATACTTTCTTTGCGTTCTCATATCTTAAGCTGTTGTCAAGTATGAGTCATCTCATATCAAGGCAGAGAGGAACATGTCTTCCTTCTCTGCTCCCTCCTCTACCCCTATCCCTGCCTGCTATAGGCTCAGAAATCATACCATTGTTCTCGGTTCTAGCATAAAACTCTACCATGATTGAATAGATGGTTGGGGGCCAGCCTGGGAACAAAACTACCACTTAAAATATCACGTTAGGGTAAAGTCTGCCCCAAAGGTAATTTAGGTGAAGAAAAAGAGCTGATCATAAATTGAGCCACATCTTATTCTGAAAGTCAGTTACCAGCTCCATGTGAATCTTTTGGCAAGTTACTCAGCCCTTCTTAGCTTTGAGCTTTCAGTTGTAAAATGAGGAAGATAGCATAGAGCAGATGTTCTCAAGATGAAGTCCCCGGTCCTATAGCATGAACATCACATGAGAAATTGTTAGAAGTATAAATACCGTACCCCTACTGACTTAGATTGATTATCTGGAATTGCTATTTTAAATTTTCATTTCATTACTAATATGACCAAGCTTTTGTCTATATTTATTGATATTTGGCATTTATTCTTTTGTCAATTTGCCAGCTTATATATTTTGCTTCTTTTCCTTTTTTTTGGAAAAAACAATGGTAGAAGGGAGTCACATTTAAGATAATGGAATAGAGATCCCTGATTTGGTCAGAGTTCTTTCTCTAATGAATGGTCACATTTAGATGCTACTTAGCAAAGCAACTGAGAGAGGAGGTACTTCTCACCAACTGGTGATTTTGATTCCCTAGACAGTAATTGATTTGTATTTTTAAATAAAGGATAATTATGAAACATAACAAAGAAGTACTACTTGTAAGTTTTGTTAAATTTTTAAATAAATATTGATAAAATGTGTAGTGCCTGACCTGAGTGAGACCCTCTCAGCAAACGTACAACCCTCCACAGACAACTGGAAACCATTAAAAGGCCATGCTTCCCTCAGCAAACAGAACAGATGGCCATTAAGAAAATTTAGGACAGGATGTACAATCTCCCCAGCACCGAGAAGTCCAGTATCATCTGTACCCCTGCACTGATCATCCTGGGAACTTTGACCACAAGCTTTCCACTCAGATTCCTTAGGATTATAACCCCCATCCCCAAACCCTGTAAAAACTTAACTTCTTCTCTGGAAAGCTGCTGAAATCATTTACCCTCTCAGCCAGCCTGTACCCAGGTGGAAATAAATCAGTTTCTATTGCTTACACCAACCCTGTGTCCAGGTAGCCTCTCCTGGGCCCTTTGTAACAATAAGGTTACAATGTTAAAAGGTTAATATCATCTTTTTTGAATGGGGTTGGAAATTATTTCCATTTTCTTTTTTTTTCTTTTTTGTCTGTGTTTTCACATGGGCTTATTAACTTTATGGTAAGAAACTGTATACCTGGGATGATCAATAAATACAGAGAATGTTTAAATTAAAATGCTTATTATAGTAAAAACATATTACCATTATTTCCTCATAAAACATTTCCCCTCAGTTTGAACACACATCCCATCATTCTTGGTAATGTGACTTTTACTGTAATAAGTAATCCAAAATTTAAACATTAACTGTACTTTTGATCACTCCTTGTACTGAATATTCATATATGTTTATGTATGTGCATATAGGAAATCAATTTATCAAGCTATTTCTCACAGTTATACAAAGATGTCATTTGCCTTTTTTGCTGCATTGACATTTGCACTGATGATAGGAGAGCAGTAATAAGTAAACTCATGGTGTCTCAGGGCATATTAAGGCAGCAACACCAAACTGTTCATGCAATCCTTATACTTTTCACAAGGAAGCATTCATCATAATAATAAAAGTAAATTCTAATTTCAGTTGATTGTTCTGATGAAGCAGTAAAAGTCATTGTATTAAATATGCATCTTTGAATATGTGGGATATCTTTTAACACATAGGAAGTATGTGTAAAGCATTTCTGCTGCGCACAAGTACAATGCTCATTGAAGGAAAGCCTATATGTGATTGTCTGAGCTAAACTGGTCCTCTTCCTATGCAAAACTACTTTTATATGAAAGCATAATTGATAGCAAAACTATTATTCAAACTGAGTATTTGGTAGATATGTTCTTAAAAATGAGCAAAGTAAGACTGTCATATTGAAGAAAATGCCTGCTGGAATTTGTTGTCAATGGCAAAGTTCAAGGTAACTAGAAAATTACAGTTTAGGAAAGTGTTCATTTGCCACCCATGAAATTAACAATAACAATATTGCCAAACTTCCCAATTTCTTGCCTTACTTGATGAGACTGATGGTGATTTTTTGATATTGTATCATGAAATCTGAAAGATTGGTATAAATCAGTTAGCCAATATTTTTCAAATGACCAAAGCATAATATTGCAAAATTATGCATTGCTCAAAGAATCAAAGTGCAAGAAAGACTGGCAGATTTTAATGTAACAGAATATGAAATGTTCATAGGTATTGTTTCATATTCCACATTAAAACTTGCACCTGACATCTAGTTTGAATGTAATATCAAAGAAGAATGTCCACAAGTCACTGGAAAAAGCTATTAAGTACTTCTGTCTTTTACAACTATATATCCATGTGAGGTTTGGTTTTCTCCATGAAATTCTACCAGAAAAAAAAACTACTGAAATAAATTAAATTAAGAACCAGACACAAAAATCCAATTTTTGTCTCTTGACCCTGATGTTTAACAGCTTAATAAATATATAAAATAGTATCATTCTTTTTAGAATTTAAAAAACTTGCTAATTTTTCTTTTGTTCTGGAAAATATGATTATTTCCATACAAATATATTATAGTAACAAACTTTTTAAATAAAGTAACCATCAATACCTATAAAACTGAAGCTCTTTGGGGTCTTAAAGTTTGAGTGTATGGGAGTCCTGAGATCCAAAAGTTTCAAGACCATCAGGTCAAAATAACTAGAGGTAAAATAAGTATTGAGAGGAAGAAAACTAATACTTGTTTTGAATATCTGTAATAGTCTGAGCTCATTCAATTCTCATGATTGAGAAATCAATATTATTATCCCTATTGACAGGTAAAGTGATTTAGTTTAATAAAAGGTTAATTTCATCTTGTTGTGTTTCTGTGTATGAGGTGCTATTTAGACAAGAACTGAGAGAACTAAGATTGTAAAGGGAAAGGAAAATAGAATATGTTGCAGCAGAAAAAGACTTCTTATTTATAATTTTAATTTAAAACTTTATAATTTTTTAAACTTTATAACTTTCTATTTATAACTTGAATTTTTCCAGGAAGAATAAAAGAAACATCTTTTCAAAATAGGACATATTGATTTTTTAAAGACATCAGGTACATATGCTCTTCTAGATCCCTGCTTGCTATACCCTGTGCAGTGCTCGGGTCTCCCCCAAGCCACACTCTATGGTTGTTAATGGTACACACTATTTATTAGGAACTCATCATGGTCAGCCCCAATGCCAAAGGCTTCTATTCATGATCTCATCCAACTCTTACAGCCACTGTGATATGATGAGCCTGCTCCCCAAAGAACTTCAGTTCCTAAATGCACCTAGGTCTTTTCCTCAGATATCCCCATACGTAGCACAATGCTTGGTACATAGTTGGAGCTCAATAAATTTTTGTTGAACAAATGAATGCATGAATAAAAAACATATAAATCAGAGCTAAATGGAATGCCAAACTGCTTTGATTTTTCTAGAAGCCTCATTAAGGATAGGGCTTCCTTGTTAGTTTAATGTGTTGCACTGTGAACTCAGCTGAGCCATTGAACCTTGTTAATTTTAATTTTTTCCTCTGATAACACTTTAGACTCTATGTTTCAGATGGCTGTTAATGTACTCTGTGTTGCTACCTCTTATCTGGTCTGTGACAGAAAGAATGATTTTAAATATACCCCAGAGGCAGAGCTAATATTTTGTAATCCTTGGTAGAATTGTCCTACTAGACTCTATTGAAGCTTGTTACAGGAGAAAGACGTAATCTGGGAAAGAATTAAGTACAAATTTTAGATAGGTACAATATTCTCTGATTGTAAATAATGTCAGAAGCGTCAGAAATGTTTTATATTAGACATTAAAAGGTTCCTAGTACTGAGCTTATTTCTCTTAATAAATGGATCCAATAATTAATAATGATAATCATCCTTATTACTTATTATTTAGAATTTTGAGAATGCAAGTCATTATCACTCTTTCTAGAAATCTGTGTGCACAGAGTTGCAGGAACTTTTCAATGCTGCATAGCGTCCATCTTTTTTTCTCCCTAGCAATCCTGTTTTGGGGGAGAGAGTATGCTTCTTTTGCAGCTGGCTGTGGTCACATGCAAGTCTAAGGTATTGGGTAAAATTTCTGGCAAAATTCGTTTGGAGAAATAAAATCCAACATCCACTCATAATTAAAAAAAAAACACAAAACATGAGAAATTTACCAAACCAAGAATAGAAGAGGATTTTCTTGATCTGATAAAGAAAGTCCAAACAACACTAGATAACAACATATTTAAAGGTGAAATGTTCCAACTTTCCCCCAACAGCATTATCATGACAAAGATGTCCTCTCTCACCAATGTAAAACTTCATTGCTGACATTAGCCAACACAAGTCAAGAAAAAGAAAAAAGAGGCGTAGATACTGTAGAAGTTATTCATAGATGACATAATCATGTACACAGAAATTCTGAGGATCTATGAAATCAGACTAGAATTATTGTAATGAGAAAATTTATTAGAGATGCAAAATGTGCAAAATCAGTTGTATTTCTATAAATCACCAGCAAATCATTGGAAAATGAAATTTTAAACATACCCCTAGGAATAAATAAAACTAAAGATGTTCAAAATCTACCTTGAAAATAGTAAAAGATTGCTCAGAGAAACTAAACAATATCTAAATAAGCAAAGATATATGTCATGTGAAACGCTTGGCAGATCAAAGCATTCAGTATGTTTAAGATGTTCATTCTTCAAACTGATCTACGGTTTCAATATAATCTCGGTCAAAATCTTAGCCTATTTCTTGAAGAAAGTGATTCTAAAATTTATGTGCCAATATGAAGGATCTAAGATAGCCAAAACAAAAGAATAATAAAGTTGGAGGACTTACACTCCTGATTTCAAGACTTTTTATGAAAGTACAGTAAGCAAGGTAAGTGAGGCATTAGTACCACGTGGGTGCAGTCAATGAGTGGATTAATGAAAAAGAATAGTTCCCAGAATTAGGCTCACACATGTACAGTCAATTGCTTTTTAACAAAGACATCAAGAAAATTTGATGTGGAAAGTTTTGCTTAGCAAACAGCTAGAAAAATTGGTTATTTGCATGGAAATAAAAATAAATGAAACTAGACCTTTTACTCTCATTCCAAATTTTACAACTCATTGATGATTATAAGATGAAATTTAGGAGCTTTAACCTTACAGCTTCTGAAGGAAAACATAAAAAAAATCTTTGTTTTCTTAGAATTGGCAAAGATTTCTTAGAAAGAAATGCACTAACCAGAAAATTAAAAACCTTTGTTTCATTAGACAAATTGTTAGAATTCCAAAACCTTGGGGAAATATTTGCAAAACATATATTTGTCAAAGAACTTGTATCCAGAATATATAAAGAACTCTTACAATACAATATTAAGAAAGCAATCTAATTTTTAAAAATGGGTAAAGGAGTTGAAAAGATATTTCATATAATAAGAAATAAGAATGGCACATAAACACATGAAAAGATGTATAATATCATTCCTCATTAAGGAGATACTAATGAAAGGTATAGTGAGATACCACTATAGACCTACTAGAATGGCTAAAGTTAAAAAGACTAATTCTTTCAATGAGCCAAAAGAATTAAGTGAGTTTAATTCTGCTAACACCAAGTGTTAGTATAGATGTGATGGGGAACCCTCTCACATTGTTGATGGATATGTAAAAAGTGGTATATCTGCATTAGTTTGATGTTTTCCCTAAAAATTAAAAGCACACTTATCTTACAATGAGTACAGTACTTCCAGTCTATTTAAACATGTTAGAAAAATAAAAACATATCCATACCAAGATTATATGCAATTGATCATGGCAGCATTTTTCACAACAGTCAAAAAATGGAAATAACATAAAAGTCCATCAGTGGAAGAATGAGTAAACAACACGTAGTAAATCCTTAAATGGGGTATTTATTAAAACAGAAAGGAACAAACTGCTGATATGCACAAAATCATGAATAAATCTTGAAAACATTATGTTGAGCAAAATATACTGTATGATTTCATTTACATAAAATCTATGAATAGGCAAAACCAATCTATATAAATCAGAAAGCATTTCCTTCTGAGGAAAAAGAATTGACTTATTGGGTCATGGGAAAAATTTCCATGGTGAGGACAATGTTTTGCATCATATCTTGGGCGTTGATTATACTGGTAGGTTCAATTATCAAAACCCATCAAACTGTGTGTTTTTGATGTATGCATTTTAAGTGCATGTCAATTATAGCTTTAAGAGGAAGCAGAGTCCCCTTTATTTATCTTCCCCCTTTCCCCTGTTATCTTGCTGCCTGAAATGAGAAAATCATAATTAGAGCCAGCAGCCTTTTTGGACCATGAATATGAAATCCAAGTGCTAAGGATGGTGGACAGAAAGCAGAAAAGGCTCAGTTAGATTCCTGGTATTTGTAGGGCTGCCATACAAGCCCTGAACTGCCTTTCTTTGAAATTCCTTTGTGTGAAAGATTTAAAATTTTTTCTTCTTTTAAAGCCCTGGTCTCTAGTACTTTCAACCAAACGTAATTCCTAAGAGTTTTAATCATTGAAAATTCCTTTCGTGGTTAAATTATTTTTTCTCTGTTAGATTACAGGTAAGAACTAGACCGAAGTGTTGTTAAATAATATACTGAAACCTGTTTATATTTTATAGAGATTGATTCCTTTGGTGTACAAAAGTATTAAAAGTTAATATACATTTGGAAAATCATTTTGTATGTACTAGAAGACATAGCAAAGAGCTTGGTTTTAGACAAATTCATATCTTGTTACAAATCACTGATTAGTCATGTGACCATTGGCAAGTTACTAACCTCTCAGAGCCACTGTTACCTTTTCTGAGTATAGGGCTGTTGAAACTTGCTTTAAGCTGCTGTCATTACAGAGGTTGGATGAGGTCATATATATAAAGCTTTCACCACAGGGTCTGGCAAATGGTAGTTCTTCTTCAATACAAGGCTATTAAATAATTTGATTTCCAACATGTCACTGACAGTACAGGTAAGCCATCACAGAGCTATTTGCCCCTGACCATCACCTGCATAATACACTGTTTTAATAAATGACTATAGCATGTTACAGTGGAGTCATTGCCTCATTTCCTATTGAATTTAATAGCAATGTTGGCTGCAAAGTCCTTCTCCAAGCAATGAGTAAAACCCACATTTCCCAAAGTACGTCAGAGGAAGCAGCAAAAATTATTTTGACAGACATCATTATAGTAGAGGAAGACAGAATATGTACATCACTGCCAAGTAGCTTCAGAAAGTGGTGTTCATTGAGGATCAAAGGTCTTTGAGGGGATAGGGGTGGGAGCACAACTGAATGGAACCTATAGTGAAAGGCTCAGTCCTCCTGCCTGCAGAACACAAAACCTAGTTTGCCTATGCAGAAAGCAGAGGCTGCAAGGACCCAAGGCTAGAACCACGCAGTAAAGATGACCTCAACTTAGCTGCAAACAACCTGGGCCCTGAGAAAACTGTTGAGATCCTAACCAACAGGATGGGAATCCTAGGGAGTTGGCAAGTACCTTGCAAGTGCAGCTCAGGGGATAGGGTGGGGTATCTCTACAGAAATCAGTGCACAGTTATACCAGAGAATCACCTACTTACCTGCAAGGGTTGGCGATTTCCTCTGGTGTTGTTTTCATAAAAGGGGAGATAGGCTTTTCCACAAAAGAGCCAAAGCCAAGTCTAAAGTTGCTAGTTAATTTAGACATCTCCTTGGAAAGCAGAGAGCCCAGCTCTTTGATTGTGTTGAGATCATCATTCATGGAGGCGGAGAGGTCCATGAGGTAATACAAATCCACTGGGTAGTCCTCGGTCTGGCGGACTTGCACTTGGAGCGTCTGTTCGCTGCCTGCAAAGTCCCACAAGAAAAGCAAATCTATAAAAACTCAAGATTTATTTACAACTAGGTGATCTATGGACCAGCTGCAATTTCATTTTTCTTTTTCTTTTCTTTTCTTTCTTTATCTCTCATTCTTTTCTTCCCTCACTCCTGCTCTCCCTTTCTTTCTCCCTCCTTTCTTCTCTCTTTCTTCCCTCCCTTCTCTTCCTTTCCTTTTTCTTTCTTTCCTTTTTCTTCCTTCCTTCCTTCCCTCCCTCCCTCCTTCCTTCCTTCCTTTAAAAAGACTTCGTTATGTTGTCTTGGCTAGCCTGGAATTCTTGATTGTCCTGCCTCAGCCTCCTGAGCAGCTGGGATTATAGGTGCATACCATCAAGCCTAGTTCTGCTGTTTCATTTCAAAAACAATTTAACAAAGATACATACAATTTGATGAACTATGTGGTAGAGTTTAGAAGTGAATAAACGCATGAAGATCTTTCAGCAGTGAGTTTAGTAGTACTAAAGTAGGCATAACTTAGGATATTTTATATCTTCTTTGGAGAATTAGCCTCCATTTAGATGAAAGATAAGCAGAGTTTTTTTGTGTGGTTTTAGAAAAGGTGATCCAAAGGGGAGTTTAAATTTACATTTCAACCCTTGAAGAAATGTGAGGTAAGCCTGAGCAACATTTGAGTAATCCAAATGGTTATTATTAAAGGAGGCTTCTTCAGTAATACATTTGGAGTGCAAGTGATCAGCATGAATAAAGAAAGATGTTAGCAATTTCCTAGAGAACAGAAAATGAGTCATTATAATCAATGATATGTGATATGCTAGAATATATATTAATAGATAGCAATATTACCACATGTAGTATATTTATTTATAAGACTCCTCTTTCTTCTATTAAGAAATCATACCATACCTGGTCTTAATTTAAGAATCAAGCTTTGAGGCACAATCTGAACAATATCAGAACTATTCTTCTGTCTGCCTACACTGAGAGGCTTATTTTTGAGTATTTCCACTTGGGAGACAGGGTTTTCAATGAAGATTAATTGACATCCTTTGGCTAAAAGGTTTGCTGGGGTATCACACCTTTCGCTAACTCCAGATGGGTGAGTAAAATTCTAAAACAGAAAAAAAGAGAGAGGAAAAAAAAGACAAATCTGCATTTCTTTAGAACAGGCAAGTAATTAAACTTTTAAACATGCTTTGCTAGTTAAGCATCTTGCCCTTCTAAGTATATCATATCCTCACATGACTGGTTGTGATTGTAGGTCTAAAGTTAAGTTATAGCTAAGTAACCAGAGAATTCTGCCAGTAAAGTTCTGAGTAAAACTGCTGTGTCCTTTAATTATATTTAATTGAATTCCTATAACAGTTCTTTTCTGAGACAAGGTCTTTCTATGTAGTTCAGGCTGGCCTTGAACTCTCTATTAGGCCCACATTGGTCTTCAACTTGGGTGATCCTCTTGTCTCAGCCTCTAGAATGCTAGGATTACGGGCATGAACCACCATGCCTGGGTGAGTAGTTATTATTTTTTTTAAAAAAAAAATCATTTTGTTAAAGCTTTATCCTGGGCCGGGGATTTAGCTCAGTGATTCCACCGCCTTCCTCGAAAGTGCAAGGAACGGAGTTCAATCTCTGGTACCAGAAAAAAAAAAAAAGAAAAAAGCTTTATCCTATGTCATGATGGACCCTTAAAGTAGTTGAATTCATGGAGTTGACATTATTCTGTGAAATTACTTGTTTGGGATGACTTATTAGTTCCTAGAGTCCTGAAACTGTCCAAGCTTTGCAACATGTCTATTGCCAAATCCACTAACAAGCAAAGATTTTTCTGTAGGTTCCTACAGGACTGGGATTACGATATCTCCCTATTTGGCATTCTGTACCAGTTTTTATTCATTGATGTATTATATTACAGCATTCCTTCACTAAAATCAACCTCTTGGGGACTCTAAACAGAGTGTCTTAAAATGGTCTAGTCTGGGGCCTTTTAGAACTTTCCAAGATTTGAAGATGAGGAAGAAAAGTAAAAGAGAAGATGGAGTAAAAGCCTACTTTCTGTACAGGACTCTGGCGTTTCCTAGCCCCCTTTAGATCCACCTGTGTAGCAGGGCAGTGAGATGTGTTTCTCAGCACAGATGTGACCATTCTGATCCTGCAACATGTAGAGCAGAGAGACGAAGCCAAAAGATAAATATCTGTCTTCTCCGACAGCCAAGGCTGCCCTGGAGCTGGTGTGAGGCAAAGCTGAACTTGAAGCCGCTTGACTCAAGCTTAGCAAGAACTCGCATATTCATTTCCTTGCCCCTGAGACATCTAAGCCACTCTTGCCTTTTTTTTTTTTTTTTCCAACTGGGAAAGTTACATATCTTCTGAAATTTATTTTTAAGGTTACAATTTGTTATTTACCAGTAGTCAGGCCTAAGCCTATTTGAGGCTCTCAACTAGGCACAGCAAACTATGGCTTCATATGATGTAGTGAAGGCAAAGAGTGACGACTTCAGAATCCTTCTTAGCATAATACTATTGCTGTTTGCTGTGGTCACAGCCTTTGCCAAAAGTTAGGAGGTGATATTAACCACAGAAGCTACTTTCTATCTGCCCTAATTAGAAGCAGAACTTACTGCTGCACCTACCTCAACTAACACAATGATGATTTCTATTATTAGAATGACCTCTTAAAATAATATGGCAATGAGATCTGACAATCATTTGGTTGCCAAATATTATCCATAAGTAAAGCTATCAGTAGCACCATAGGAAGCACTTTTAAGTTAATGCTAAAAACTATGTTTAAATAAAAATTTTAGACTGATTTGTTATTTAAGTCTCTGGCATAAAACATGTGGGTTAGTCCCTTATGTATATTCTTAATCCTGCTTTCTTTTTTATTCTATTGTTTATCTATCTATCCATCCATCCATCTATCTATTTTTGCATTTCTTGAAATTGAACCTAGGACCTCACACATGCTAAGGAGGCCCTCAACTACTAAGCTACATCTCCAGCTCCTCTCAATCCTGTTTTTCATACATGAGCTCAATACAGCTTTTCCCTTGAATTTTGTTTGTGACCCATCAGTCACTGCAGTAGTGGGGCATTGAGGCATGTTTGTGCTCTCTTCTCTGTGAGGCCACATGGATACACATGGAATTTGGTGTTTAACAGTTACAGCCCAGTTCTGAGTTCTGTGTCTAGATTTGTTTTCCTTTGGACATGCTACTTGGCTTTTGCTGAACTTAGCATTGTAGCGTTAGAGTTGAGTTTAGGTTCTCTTTATGAGATTCAATAGATAAAAGTTAAAACTTGTTTAAAAAGTTTAGAAAGCTATCATATCTCTTTATTACCATGAATCATTTACAGATTTCTGTATAGAGTCACAGGATAGGCAATGATTTAGGATTGTTTGTTATATATTCGAAAATCATCTTCATACTAATTTGCATAGTTTACAGTTTGACAAGATAAGAAATGTCTGTTTGGGGCTTTGTCTTTGATATGGTACAGAATTATTAAGCCAATGAAAATAAATTTTTTTAAAAAATTAGACAATGTCTGAATAGTAATCTTTCCTCTAAACCTAGAATACTTTTCATAGAACCTACCAGTGAGTCACAGGAAATCCTAGTTCCCAGGTAGAATATAACTATATTATTAATGTCAAATATATGTTTAAATTTAGAAAGTATCGTCTCAATGACTCTGACTATCCAAGAAGCCTCACTATTTCATATGTAATCCATTATAAATGGCTTCTAAATAAAAGGAAAATCAGGTTAAATAAAAGAAACTGAGTTAAGTATTTTTTAAAGAATAAGCTGACTTCCTTCCATAAACTGCTTTTAAAAGTAATCACACACATATCATTTTGATTCACTAATATTTATGTTTTTCTTTCTTGATATATTTTACTTTTACAATCCCACTGAAAGGACACTATCAGAGCTGTCACTGAGGAAGTGAAGTAACTGTAAACCATTTTTAGAAACATGTTGAGGTCATTTGTTTTACCTCCTGGGAGCACCAGGCACACTGCGGTCCAGTGAGCAAGCAGTCACCACAGGTCTCCGCACCTCCCATGGCACAGCCACCTACACGCAAACCCAGCAAGAGGCAGGGATTAAAGTCACTTCCATCCATTCCGTGTCGGAGACCTGTGCCTCTCAGATTACTTGAGCAAAACAATGTCAAAGTTGATTCTTATTTTCAAAGATTGGCCCTCATAATGTTAGCCATTCTCATAAATATTGGTATTTTTTATCTCTCACACTGCAAATATGTGTGCCTTGTAAACCAGAAATTATCATTCTCATTTTTCTTAAAGTTTAAAAGTAACTGTTCACAAATACAGGCTCATCTTGTTTATTATCCTTATTTAACAACTGCCACTTTAATTTAAAACATTATTTGGAGCCACTAAACTTGCTATTCTTACATGTAGTACTTCTGTTTTTGAAATAAATCCTTTCTCTCTTCTCAAGATTATTACTCTTAAGTAGCAAATCCTTGTTGTACAATAAAAAGTTTCCAAAACAACTATCACAATAGCACTAAGAAGTCGTATTGTTCAGTAATGTTTAATTAAATGTCTGTACAACCTTTGTATTTATTTATCTCGAGCCTTAAACATTCACCGGGGGAAGAGCCCAGTGCTTACCTGTAATTTATTAAAGTGTTTACCGGGTGGCAAAAGAGCTATCAAACAGATTATATAAAATATGACTTCAGATCCAGTTTCTGAACCAAATGACAGGTTTGTCAAGCATACTGTGAAAGCAATATATCAGAGAACTTAGGTCTTACCTTGTACGCAATCATCCCTTCCTAGAAATAGAAAGAAGAAGCAAAGCAGCTCAATCCCCATTCGTTTCAGCTCTCGCTGTGCAGACAGAGTAAAAAATGAATTACCTTCAATGTTATAAGACCAAAGTTGAATATCATTAAAGTCTTTCTTTCTTGAAGCATAAAATTTTAAATACTACTTACACTGCTTTGAAAAGAAACTTGAGATGTAAATTTAAAAGTTTTCATTAAGACTAAAATGAAAGCAGAGGCTACCTGGACAGGTAAAGAAGAAAAGCTGTGTTTAAAAGCAACTTCAACATGATTTACTTCCTTGTTCTCCTTATAAGGAAGGCAGGTGTACGATAACCAAGAAGGTGGGGAAATTCATTCAGTAGAAATTTTGTGTTCTGTTGGTCTCTCTGTATCCTACAGAAAGTTAATATCTTTAGTTAAATATTGATCAATGAGATGTCAAAAGGGCAAGTGAAATAATTGTTTCTGTAATAATTTTAATTTAATGTAAACAGCAAAGATGTGAAATAAAATACTTTTTTATATTATATGAAAGGAGGATTTAAAAAATAAGCTAACTAAAATACCTGAGATTTTTGTATTCCTTGTTAAATCCTCTGCAGAGAATTGAAATGAACTCTGAAAAATAAAAATATGATTTTACAGTCAAATTAGAAGTTAGGCTAGGGAATCCAAAACTATTATTTTTCAAACTGAATGAAGATATTTTTTCCAGAAGTATAGAATTCTTATTTTAAAGGTTATATTAAAATAAATATAGTGTATAAAAGTTATAATAGGTCAAAAGAAGATAGTCTGAAAACAATAGTCTCCAACATTCTGCACCCCTCAGGTTAGGTACAGAAAGCTCTTTCTGAAGTTCTATTCCAGGGGCTGGGGATTTAGCTCAGTGGTTCGCCCACCTCCCTCACAACCACAAAGTCCTGAGTTCGATCCCCAGTCCCAAAAAATAAAAAATAAAGTTCTGTTCCAGGACTGGGGGAAGCTCAGTAGCAGAGCATTATGGGATTGCCCCCTATCACACTCAAGGGGCACAGGTCACACCTGCGGGTTAGTGGGAGCTGAGAGAAGTTCACTCTGAACAGTGGATCCCAACTGACAACAGGAAAGGAGGAAGCCAGGGAGGCAAGGAAGGAGGTCCCCTGAAATATTGACTTGAAGTTGAGTTATTTTGAAAAGCTCCTGACCACTTTATTTCATCACCAAAACATTGTGGCTGAGGCCCAGCAGTGAGCCCACCTCTGTAACACATCACACCTTTCTCAGATTGCTATCAAAGTCCCTATCAAATTCATTTTAACTGTATCTTTGCCTGCATTTTAACGAACATGAAGCCATCAAACCAAATCAACACTGCTGTCCATACAAGAGTTTAGGAAGCAGAAAATTAAAAATCTGAATATTTATGAAAGGGTAAGAAATGATAATAGGACAATTCTTCCTTTTTAAGGTGTTAAGATCCTTGTGGAAGTTCTGTGTGGTCTTTGGACTCAAAACCATTTTCTCCACTCTTTGAGAAAACTCAGTGATTCTTACATGCTGGGTGTTTCCTTACCAATCTGAGCCATGGATACCCAGACATCCTTAACAAAGAAGGGCCTGAATCCAGGGCTGATGTGCCAGGAAAGTTATAGCTGCAGTGGGACTGATGAAGCTGTTTGAGTGTCATGAGTGCTTCAGTTTTCAGTGTCTCCGCTGCAAGAAGGAGCTCCACACACAGGAAGGTCTGTGAAACCGTGAGTGGATAAGACTCAAAGCTGGTCATGTCCCTTACTGCAACATCTGCAAGAGTCCCAATGGGCATTCTCAGGGAGTTTGGCAGCAGGCATTGGTGAGGTGCCAGAGCTGCAAAAACAACCTGTGCCTGGAGTGCCAGGAGAGAACTCATTCTGGGGGTAGCAAGAGGAGACACCCCATTACTGTCTACAGTATCAGTAAGATGCAGGACTCCCTGAAGGTGGAACAGATGGATGAGGAGACCAAGAGGAAGAAAACGATGGAGAAAGTTGTGAGTTTTCTCCTAGTAAATGAAAATGAAGAAATCCAGGTAACAAATGAAGATAACTTAATTAGGAAACTGAACTGTAAAACGGATCAGCATCTGAAGGTGGTTTCCATTTTTGGAAATACTGGTGATGAAAAGTCTCATACCCTCTACACACTTTTTTTTATGCTGGCTGTTAAGTCTTCAGAACCTCCCCTTCCCAGAAGTTCTGCACTGTGGGTGTGTGGGCAGCCTAAGACTCAGTCCACAAAGCAGTGAGAGACATGGAAGGGCTCTTGGGAGCTACAGTGAATCTAAGCCAGGAAATCAAACATCATCATCTGTTGAACTCATGCAGATCGGCTGCATAATGACCTCTTCAAATTCCTTGGAGATGCCTCCGAAGCTTATCTGACCTTAAGGCTACCTCTGCCTGCTGTGGCCTGGATGTCCCCTTCTCCACTCTGGGCCCTGCAGGTACTATTTTCATGAGACGGTGCACACTCATCTACTGGACTCTGGTCACCCCTTAGATAGGCTGGAGAAGCTCATCTAGGACCAGTTCAGGAAGCTGGGCCACTTCCACAAAGCCTTTAGTTCCATTCGCTACAAGGGAACAAGGACTTACAATCCCCTGCCCTTCAGACTTCTCTGGGGTCTGGTGTGCTTTGGAGCAGCAGCTAGAGAACAGTACCACCCATTCTCCTCAACACCCAGGGGTCATCTTCAAAGCTCTGAAGCCACTGACCGACTGCTTCAGCAGTGAAATTCCTGATGACCAGATGGCACACAGCTCCTTTTTCCCAGATGAGTACTTTACCTGCTCCTCTGTGAGCTGTGGGATTGGATGTAAGAACAGTATAAACCATGTGAAGGAAGGAGTGATCGAATGTCCTAACCATGGTGTGATCTATTGGAGCCGGCAGTACTGGCTTGGGAACAAAGACCCTGTGGATACAGTGGTGCAGACAGAGATTGTACGTGTGTGGCCTGGAACTGATAGGTTTCTGAAATACAATAACCATGCTTCCCAGCGCCTGTTGGATGGGATGAACTTCCTGCCTCAGTTGGTATCTGAGCTTAGCCTTGAGCCCACCAAGGCTGTGACTTCCTGGCTGACAGACCAGATCGCCCCTGTCTACTGGAGACCCATCTCCCAGATCCTGAACTGCAACAAGTGTGTGGCATCACTTAGAGACAATAACACTAAACATTGCTGCCAGGGCTGTGGGGAGGCCTTCTGTGACAGCTGTTCATCTAAGAGCTAGCCAGTGCCCGAGTACAGCTGGAGACCTGCGCTCGTGTGGGTGTGTGACAACTGCTGTGACACCAGGAATGCCCAGTTAGAAATTACTGAGGCACAGGCAGAAGAAGAAGGCAGAACACTCATTGCTCAGAAGGTGGATGAGGCTGTGCAGAACACCTTGGGAGCCATGGGGAAACCCATTGATGTACCACTAGTCCTGGTGAAGGATGCAGCCAGGCCAGTGCATTGGGTGCCTGACCATGAAATCCTGCACTTCCACAACTGCTTCAAGGAGCTCTGCATTGAGCTCTCCAAGCACCATTACTGTGCCTGTGCCCAGGGCTTCTGTGACAAGTGATCCCATGACTGCCAGGCTGTCCCCTCTCAAGGCTGGGACCATCCTGTCTGAGTCTGCTTCAGTTGCAATAAAAAACCTGATGATCTTTAACTCCAGCTTCTCCCAGGAGTCCTTCACAATTCCGTAGGTTCTCAAGGTTAGAAACTGAAGTCTCATTGAGCCAGGGTCTCCTCCTGGTCACCTGTGGTGTGTCCTTTCCTCCTCTTGTGCTGGGGCCACTTTCCCTAGGTGGGGCTGAGCCTGGTGGCAGGCCCAAAGGCATAAACCCTTCAGGGCAGAAGTACCTAAAGTGCTGTTCCAGATTTTAGCTTATGATGTGGGCCATGGAAGGTAGTTGTGAAATCAGAGTGACAACTCAGAAGATATACTACTGATGGCTAAATTCATAAAGTAGTTTGTATTTTCTTCCCTAACAGAACCAGGAGGGTATTTGGGGATTTGTAGAAGTTGTGTACAGGTAAGAATCAAATACTTTGTTGCTGTAAATTATCTAACCTAGTCAGGCTTCTCTGAGGCTTATGTCCTAGGAGATTATCTTTTAAAGGTATGTCTGCAGGCAAGCACCAGGAAACCTGCAATGAAGGGAAAGCAAACTATGAACTTTTAGATCCTTCTAGAATCCCTTTGTTTAATTTTGAACTCTACCATAAAAACCTGGAGGAACATGGTAAGAATCCTGCAATGAGAAATCCTAATTATTAGAGTTAGGAAAGAATGCCTTTGGGGAGAAAAATGCAGCTATATAAAATCAGTTGAAGGGCTGGGGATTTAGCTCAGTGGTTCCAGCATCTGCCTCAAAAGCACAAGGTCCCAAGTTAGATCCCTGGTACCAAAAAAAAAAAAAAAAAAAAGTGAAGAAATATATGGTCGGGGATTTAGCTCAGTGATTCCACCGCCTGCCTTGTAAGTGCTAGGACCCAGGTTCAACCTCTGATTCCATAGAAAATAAACAAATAAATAAAATCAGTTTATTTACCTTGAAGAAGAAAGAGTGAGACATGAATTTCAGTGTTCCTGTTATTACCCCCATTTTAAAATGCACTATTAGCTGTTATTCATTCATTTAACAAAATACTGACTTTGTGCTAAATATTCTTTTTTTTTTTTTGGTACCGGGGATCGAACTTGGGTCCTTGCGCTTGCGCAGCAGGCGGCAAAACTACTGAGCTAAATCCCCGGCCCATATTCTTTTAAAATATATTTTTATTTTTATTTAACACAGTAATTGTACACATTTTTGATTTATAATGTAGCATTTCAATATAAGTATACAATGTGAAAGGACTAGGTCAGGATAATTGACATTCCTATAACCTCAGAAATACATCATTTCTTTGTGTGGAGAATATTCACAATCTTCTCTACTAGATATTTTTAAACAGTCAATTAGTTTTTGTCAGCCATAGTTATCCTTCAGTACTATGGCACTTTAGCGGTCATTACTCCTAATCAGCTACACCTCTAACCACTAACCATTCTCTTTTTGAGCTCTTCCTTCTCACAGCCTCCCAGGCTCTGGTGACCACTGTATTCTCTACTTCTTTGAGATGAACTTTTTAACTTGCACTCATAGATGTTTGTCTTTCTATGCCTTACCTATTCCCTTAACGTAATATTCTCTGGTTCAATCGTGTTGCTATAAAGCACAGAATTTTACCGATTTTTTATGGTTGCATAATATTCCATTGTATATATGTAATACCTCACTTTCTTTTTCCATTTACCTGTCAGTAGACATCTAGGTTTATTCCTTAGCTTAGGTATTGGGAACAGTGCTGGAATAAACATATGAGTGAAGATGTATCATTATCATATGGTAGTTCTATTTTTATTGTTTTGAGGAACCTCTAGATTGTTTTCCATAATGCCAAACATCATTTTTGTTATCTGTTTCTAACAATTGTTTTAGTACCTTTCCAGTATGTAATGACTATGTTTTTCATGAGGTAGTTGGTACATATCCATAACATATTTTACTTCTTTTTGTCTCCTCTTCCCACCCCTCCCTGTTCCCTCCAACTCATGTTCCT